AATCTAAAAATTATTTAATAATTTATACAAATTATAGTATCAAATGTAGTTTTTAATAGCTTAACAAAATAAATATATTTTCAAACTATAAATAATATATAGTTTAATGGTGTTAATTGAAGGAAAATGATTAATTAACTTAATAAAATATAAATAACATTTTATACAATAATACAATACGCTACGACCACAAATGTGCAATACATTACAGTTAAATTAAAGGTACAATGCACTACAACCAAACTAAATGAATTTTTATTATCCCACATCGAAAGTTCACAACAAAATTCTTGTAGATGACCACTATAAATTAGTGGCCAATAATCTAAAAGTAGAAAAATTTGTAATAATTAAACAATAATATAAAAAAAATGTGAATGTCTAGGTGCGTCTTAAGTGGTCAATGCTTTTGTTGACCGCTTAATTAGCCGCGTAAGCCCTAGATGTGTTTTTGCCACGTCATTAAAATGCGCATTTGATGATGATCAGAAGAGTCGAGTATACGCGTTCTTTTGTGGAAGAAACTTTAATACATGTCGGGAGGCTGCCCGTCATAAGTCAGTTCATGATCTGCCACTTAAGTGAAAGCACCTACTCGTCTGGAGATTTTGAATATATCAGCTGGTTAATGTCGATATGCTTTGGGGTTAATCGGATTTTTCTGTTTCAGAAAGCAACACCAGCGGCAAGTTTGATTGCAGATGCAGCTACTACACTGCATACTAAATATCTTGAGTGTGATACTTATGTAGAAAAATCATATGCAAACGCGACGAGGAGGTTAGCTGCACGGAAAACGCCAAATCTAACCTCTTCCTGTAAGCTAAATAATACAAAACCGACGAAGAAGCCAAATGCAAATTTTTTACTAGAAATTAGAATAAATTTACTAATAAAAGAGAAAAATGAATATTTCTTTTCAAACAAAGCAAGATCTGGATTCCAAGGAATGTATTATTTGCAGATTATCAAATATGCACCCATACGGCCATGCAACAACGTTGTACAAGGGAGAAATCATTTTCCACATGGCTAGGGTCAGGATTTTAGGCCTGTTTGATAGCACATATTTTCCATGGAAAATTTTCCTACGTTACAAATTTTCCTACGTTACAAATTTTCCACATTTTAAAGAAAAATAAATTCTTAATGTTTTGGTAGGTAAATATTTTTCAGGTTTTTTTTCCCAATTGGAAAAAATTCTAGACACAATGTAAAAAAAATTATCACTTTTATT